CACTGACAAGCTTATTTTCAGACAGTGTACACCCACAATGTTATTACCTAGATATTTCACATTCTTTTAGATTCATTTATTATTTAATTTTTCAATACTATTAACACTAAGTCTATAAGGATGGCATGCTGATGGGAGGTGAGTTGTCGTAGCAGGTTCTCGTACGGGACGTGATAGTTAGGGAACTTGCTTGTATCTATTGGAGCAACTTTCAGACAGTACTGCTCTGCCAGGAAGTGCCAAACATCCCCACGCTTGCTGCGTGGAACTCCTGCAAAAACATCCAACAATCTTGTGAAATTAAACACTTTAGTAAGAAAGCTCCTAACAAATTTATTATGCAGAGGTGATACAAAGAGTGATTATGAATTATCTTTGCACTTTTAAACATTTTATTCTAAAAAAAATCGTACGCTCAATAATAACATTTTCAGGATGTAGACCTTAAGTATGAACTGTATGTTGTGGTTTCATGAAATCCTATCAATGAAGGCAATGCAGAGATGGTTTCGAAGAGAGTCTGGGCTAAACTCACCTGCCGATTTTCAGGATGTATACCTTAAGTATGAACTGTATGCAGAGAGATAACTGTATGTTGTGGTTTCATGAAATCCCATCAATGAAGGCAATGCAGAGATGGTTTTGAAGAGAGTCTGGGCTAACCTCACCTGCCAAACCATCCACTTATGCTTCATACAAGCCTGTTTCTAAAATAACTGTGAACAGAATGTGAAATGCATTCATATATTGCCCATGGTAACACATTTCATTTTCATTGCAGTGTGACAATTTCTGAACAGCTGTTTGCCCCTAGGTCCCTGCAATTTCTTTTTGTGTCGGAAGGGGGGTTGTTTGACAGACTGTCTACCCCTGCACCAATAATTCAAAACCAAAATGACATCAAAATTCACATCTGAGATGATGATGTATGTGCAAATGTGCAATCTTTGGAATGAGAATGACAATCATTTTGACACAAGTAGAATCACCAGCTGGGCTCAAATTGAAATTAGGTAACTGACCTCAAAACTCAAGAGTTTTTATTCATGCTTGATGTATGTGCAAATGTGCAATCTTTGGAATGAGAATGACAATCATTTTGACACATGTAGAATCACCAGCTGGGCTCACATTGAAATTAGGTAACTGACTTCAAAACGAGTTTTTATTCATGCCCTACAAATTTCATTATCGTGCATAGCTTACCTTTTTAAAAACATTTTTTAAAAGTGAAAAGAATATTTATAATCATCTTGTATTGTGAAATAAGGTGATTACGAATGGTATGTTACATGAACGAATTGGTCATGGCTTATTTTAAAACACCAATGTGATGTCTCCTTCAACAGTACAAGGAAAAAAACATTAAAAAATAACAGGCTGGTATTGAAACCAGTAACTCCTCAAATACAAAGCAGCAGTATTAAGAAATAGAACACAATATAATGTTAAGTCTACAGATGCTTAAGTATAAAAGATGCAATTTGGCTTTATTAATGTACTTTACCAAATGCCACATATTTGTCAGTGAAGTTCCCTCTCTGTTCATAGTTATGTAAGGGGTAGGATAACAATCCTTCCCAACCCTCTTCAAATGAGTATAACCCCAGATTTAACTTTATTATTTCTGAGATTAAATTATTTTAATCCTGTCACTGAACTATTTCTCCATTATCTGCTATTATCTCATGTCTTCACCTTGCCTGATGGCTTGGAGCAGCATTTTGGAGTCACACTGAGTTGAGACGCGACTCTCCTTGCTCACCAAGAGATCCCACACCTCCATTACTTCTCGCACACATGAACCTATCTCATCATATTCCAACTTGATGCGCTTCACTGTCGCTTCCTCCTGTCGGGCTGCCAAAACAATGGGTTACTTTACAGTGTCTGATGATGTAACCAATCCTGTGGTTGTTAATTATTATTCGTAATTCAATAAAATACAAAATTAGTAAACTACAGCACAGCTCTGATTATCTGGGGCCCAATTTATCCATGGTCTCAGACTGCGTAATTACATTTTCCTTATCTTCACTTTACTTCATGGGAAATGAAAATGACTTTGATTACGATGACCTTTTTACAAATTTGTGAGTATATAAAAAAAAGGCCAACAGAAATATCAAAACAAAATCTATGGACTTGCTTACAAAATGACTTCAAAAAAGAATGTTTAGTATGTTTTGCAATAGGAATATGTATGTTAATATGTACAAATTTGTGAAAGTTCCTATTTTGCTTACACGGATGATGATGATAATGCTAATTAAATATAATCTGCATTAACTGTGTTTTAGATTATCTGGGCCCTTGCCTCCCACAACTACCATGAACAATCAGTGCTCTACTCTAATTTCAATATCAACATAATAATTGCACATTTATTCCAACTTAAAAATATACTGTGCAAAGAAGAAATGTTATTTCCTGGCCTCGTACTGGAACATAACAGGATAAAATGGTGGAATTTTTGTTAGCAGTATTAAACCTCTAGGTTCTGCTACCTGAGAGTGAACGCATTAAATACGGACTTCATTGGATTCCGGACGTAGTGGGAGCACTTCCTAATCACTAGGTCCTATTATCAGAGTTTAAATTTGTTGTTAGAGGTGGATTGGATTGAGGACAGATTCTAAAATCATATTTTAGTGTTACCTTTCGATTCTAATACCAGAGAGTTTGGTGTTCAGAAGAAGAAATTAGATTAATCAATAGCTGTTTCTTTGTGTATGCTGGTATACCTTCATATTCACAAGGTGATTAGATCATTGCAAATAAGGTTATAAACTCTGATAAACAAAAACTATATATTACTTTCCACTTTTCACAACTTTTACACTTAAACTACTAACATTACTTATCTTTCTTTATAAAAGCACGAGTGTGTGGAAGATACGAAAAAAATTATGGAAACAAATGCCTGCAAACCAAAATTTCAGAATAACAAAAATAATGTTCATCTCCTGCAAAAGAATTGAAAAATATTTTATAATAATGAATAATGATATAATAAAATATCAGTGTAATGCAGCCAAACCCCATTGCTGTTTGAAAATGTGTTAAAATGTCCAAGTAGCAGCAACGACAAATGGCATTACAGGATTAGAAACACTGCTGTTTATTTTAAATAGCATGTAAAATATTCACCAGATGTCACAAGCATACAAATCTCTGTACATACCATAATCTGGACATCAATACAAGATTAAAATAGTCTGATGACAATTTTTACACATTGCAAAACAGATTTCCACATCTAATTTTGAAACACAAACCAATAGGAAGAAGAAATAAAGGACGCCCTTTAAAGAATTCCTGGACGATTGAGGCCAGAATGGGTCATTAGGCCCAAACTCCTTGATAGTTAGATGATGATGATGATGATGAAATTTTTTTTTTTAATTTCCCTTGTAGCAAATGCACAATATGGTGCAAAATGATGATGCAAGTGATGATATTGTGCCAATTCTGGATTGTGCATGTGACAATATTTCAGAAGTAGAATCTGGTTATACTCAAAATGAAATTGGTGATAATCATGAATTTGATCACAAAAGTGACTCATCAGACAGAGAAAAAAAGTGATGAGCAAGCAGAATCAGTTGTCACGGCAAGATGTGATATGGAACAGCAAATGAAAATATCTGATTCATCTCCCCAAATGGCATGATGTTCAAAACATCACCAAAATACTTTGTGTATACGCATGTGTGCAAAGAATGCATAATAACCTTTATCACAGGGGATTTAAACTCCCATCATGTGGGGCTGTAAGCTGGATTTTAACTTTAGCGTGAAATAGTTTACCACTACGCTACTGCAACACATGACCAGCTAGACCGATCATAAAACTTGATGCACAGATGATAAAAGATAATATACATAATCATGTAAATGCTAGATCACTCTTGTTTATGTTTGGATTGCAGAATGAATGATTGAGAATATAATTACAAACACACAATGTGCCACTTCCTCCATCCATCCAATGGCTCTAGAGCCCATATTGGGCCTTGGCCTCCTCGTGCCACTTATAAAAATGCATTGATGTCTGTAGAAACAATTAATCCGAAGTTATTAATATGTTTATATTGCCTTACACCATCATTAAATTTAATTATTATAAATATAATTTGTCAGTTCATAAAAAATTTGTTTTAACCAAGATTTTAAAAAAAATAAATAAAGCATGACAATAAATTTTTCAAGTAATGTTGATGATAATACAGCGTGTTTCAAAAGTAGCTTTACAACTTGAGGGTGAGACATTGGTA